CTCTAAAAAATATCCATTCAATTCTTGATTTCTAGCACCAAAATAATTCTTCGACATAAAGCATTCTATGGTAATCATTTAATAGTTTTTGTTTCAAAGCCTATAAAAATAATGACATGCCATAGTTTGGGGAGTTTTAAATACCACACAACCTTACTTGAAGTTGTCGTTTACATTTGAGAATATAAAACTCTTCTTGGTTCCATTTAAAACAAGATTTCTTAACAACATAAGTGGTGTTTTTGAAGGGAGCACTATAACTAGTCCAAACTTCAAATAACACAAATATAAATCTCCCATTTGTAAGCCCTACTGTTTAAAATCTAGTAACGTGTACAAGTTTGCTATTGCAAAGAGATGAGTCAATGCACAACACAATAGAATAGTGGTCACTACACAATCGGGGCAGATTAATGAATTGGCTCCAAGAAATGCTTCAAGAGCAACTAAGGCACAATCCATATGCTCTTTTAAGATTATCCACCTTTTGTTTTTATGTACCTAGGTAAACTTATTAGCTAAAAGCATTAATGGAGTGAAGCCCATAATCACTAAGATGGTTCCAAAAATGTTGAGCATGCACAAAACCCCTAGTTGCTCTTGGAGAGACCTCTTCAGTTGTAGCAATGTCATTTAAGTCTATTATAACAATCTAGTTGTTATTGATAGCGTATGCTTTGTTTACTAGTTGAGATTAGAAAATAATTTTTAAGTGATCATGAGGTTGAACATATGCAAAGGTGATAATAAAAGAAAGCTGTTGATGTTTCAGCTGACAGTGAATAAACTAATGACAGAAAATAAACTTTTAAGGTAACAGTGTTAGATTTCCAAAACAACTAAATCCCTTTTGCTCTACCTTGTAAGAAAACTTGAAACTATCTATCATATCATACCATGTCATAAAATTGAAAGTGGAAGTAATAGTCTCAACCTTAGTTTCAAAAAAACATATAACCTTAGTTTATGCATCTTTATAAGTTCTTTGCCATCTCTCTTAAAACGAACATGTAGCTTCATGGGGAAAGGTTTAGAGTTTGGTTGGACGTTGTAGAAATCATAGTTGATTTTGCCAAAATCTTAATTAGGGGCAATGGTTAATCCAAGGGTGGTTTAGTGTAGATAGCTTATCTTGTATCTAGGCTAGCTAGTTTAAGTAGTCCATTGTAAGATAAGGGATCCTAAGTGAAGGTATCACTATTGTAACTTGGCTTGGGGGCAGGCTACTAGGTGTGAAGTGTCCTTGTTAAGTGGTTGAAGGGTTTGAAGAACTCGAGTCTTGATGGTTTTTAAGGCTAGTTGGTTACTCAAATGGTTTAGAGATAATGGACTTAGGTTCCTTATAAATTGGGCCTATGAGCTTTTGTTTCTTTTTAGCTTGTTTAAGTCTAAGGTTTACTATAGAGATAGATAGGGTTGATGGAAGCACGAGACATATAAGGGTTAATTGCTTCTCTTGGGCTAGAAATTGGGGCTCGAGTTGGGCTTCAATGGTGTCTCCATAAGGATGGTAGAATTTAGGCTTTCCTTCCTTGGTCGAAAAGTTCTCGCCCTAGTAGTGTCCTTTTTAGAATTGAAAAGTAATAGATTCAAATCCTCAATCAAATCTATAATTGCAACAAACTGATTCTTTGAAAGATCACAATGTCCATGTTTGTTAGTTGGATCATTAATCTCCTCTAATTGTGCCTAATTGCTCGATGAATGTTTGGGTTTGGTTGAATGATTTAGAGATGGGGCATGAATCACACTAGCCAATATATGTTTCATGATTCTTGGAGGCAATAGGCATTGATTTTCATCGTGGCATTCTTTGTTGCACCATCCATGGACTAATGACCATGTCATTATCCACCATGTTTGATTTTAGGGCCTTGGTTAGTTTTATCATGGCACTTGTCCTAAGGTTGCTAGGCGGCAAGGATTTTCCTAGGTTTTTGTAGCGACAAATGTCCTTTTTATGATTTAACTCTCCATAATGAAAGTAGATTTTGTGTAACCCTTTATACTTAATTAAGATCAATGATTGAGGTAAGCCCTCGAGATCCAAATAAATGGAGGATGGTAATCGCTTGCTCAATTCCACCTCCTTACATACGTATGCATATTGTCTTCTTGTTGCCAAAAGGGTGATATTGTTTACCTTAATAAGTTTACCAATTTTATTACCTAAGTACATCACAATGACATTATGGTAGCAAAGGATTCACACTCTAAATAACTTCACCCAAATTAAGGTCCTTTGGGCTTTGGCTCATCCCAATTGATAGCCTAACTCCCATGGTTGGACTACAAGGCAGTGGTCAAATATCTTGCAGTAGCCCTTTGTTAATACTACAATGTAATTTTTTATGATGAAAATTGTGCAATGCAGTAGCTTAATCCAACATCTATAATGTCGAATTCACCTTCCATTTTTATAATTAGACAAGTCATGCATGTAAGGCATGGAAATTTATAGATTTTCCCAAAAGCTTGATTATCATGGCATTCTATTAAGGAGCACACAATATTTTTTGTTGGGCTGTCATCATCTTCTACCATTGGCATTACGTCTTCTTGGTTTTAATTTATTGCCTTCTATTCCTCATAAGTAACAAGGGTCAAGTTTAAGATGCACTACCGTTAATTTGTGTATCCCAAAAGGATTTAGTCAGTTCAACAAGGACCAAAGAAGGCAAAGAGTTAATTAGTGGCTAAGATGTAGAGGTTGCAATAAAGGGGCTAATAGAATATTAGAAAGAATGGCTAATATATTTAGTGGGAGTGGTGGTTAGGGGGAGGGAGGACTATTAATGGGAGATCAGAGAGAGGTCATGTGCACTATTATGGGGTTTCACATTCTAATCAATTCCTTATTTGTAAATTTATTACTTAGCTAAAATGATATTTGTATAATTTTTCTTTTAATCAAGAATGCTCAATTGCTTAAACACACAAAAGAACAAAAAATAAACAAAATTAGCATCTACAAATTTAAGACAAAATCCCCTATGTAACAGAGGAGAAACCACTACTTAAGAATACTTTAATAACTTTACAATTCGAACTACACTTTTTGATCTATACTGAAAAACACATTTTTAATATATAAATGCTTTTTTTTTTATTAAGGGTATTTAATAATTTTATTTTTCAAAATATAACTAAAAGCTCATCTTTAATGCACTTGGACAATTTGGAGGTGAAACTAATAATTTATTGTTCTTAAGTTTTTATGATTACAAAATCAAGAATAAATTTGAAAGTTGAAAATTCATGATTTAAAAAAACCATTTTTAATACAACTCTACAAAAGAAAATAACATTAGGGGTTGAGTCTTGGGCACGACTTAGACATTAGCGTATTCGATGTTGTATATAAGTGATGTGAGTGATAATTCAAATGAATCATTCCAAAAACCCTTTGAAAACTCATATCGGGGGCACCTTATCCTTCTAGTTGTTTCAAGAATAATAAAACTGTTGTCCCCAAAACCCTTTTTAGTTTTGGGATGAGTTTTGGGGACAATTTAAGATATGACGTACCTAATAAAATTTTATTTAGAATGACTTCTATCAATAAAAGTCATTAATGTCCCCAAAGTTGGCAAGAAATTAGTTTTGATTAAAAAAATAAAAACAACATTAATATGGATGAGTTCATATATCTTTGATCTTTTAAAGATAAATATTTTAAATTTTTAACCAAGATTGATATTTTTTTCCCATGCAAATTTTAGAAAACCTTTTTGTTTTGTAGTATCGTTTTTTTTTATTATTATTTACTTCAAATAATGAACAATATAACAAGGAATAGCTTCCCACTTCCCAAATCTCTCTCCACCCATGCCTAAAATTTAAATTTGAAATCTTTAATATGAAAATTTGAAATCTTAACCACTAGAACATTTCATGAGGAACTGTAATCAAAATTTGAAATTTTTAAGGAATATAAATATAACAAAATGCTAAAAAGATGAATAAATGAGAGAAAATGTAAATTTTGAGTTTTATTTTTTTACTATTAAATATATTTTAAATTTAAATACTAAATTATAATAAAATTTATAAGGTAAAACTTAAAAATGAGATTAAATAAACATGTTTTTATATTTATTTATAATATTTATTAATATAAAATTTTACTTTTCGGTTATATATTCGGTTTTGGATTTTCAACTCTATAATCATTAGCCGATCAAATTTTTTTGGTTATCCAACTAAAATTGAAAACAAAAATCAATAACCATTTATATCTAACCATTTGGTTACTTTTTTAACAGTTTTCGATTACCCATTTGGTTAACCAACCGTTTGCCCAGCCCTAATCATAACCAAAATCTTTGATATGTGTTTCTAAGGTAAGTTTGAGCTTACTGTATTGGAATTTATATCTCATTTTTGCCCATCATTTTACTTATGCACAATTTATTTTTAGACAATGTTGTTTTGACAGCCTTAATACAAGGAAAAACCAAGAGGATAAAAGGGTTGCTAATCCTTTTTCTACTTTTCTACTAGAAGTAGTAGCATGCCTTCATTTCAATTAAAAAATTAAAATAAATAAATTTGTTAATAAAATTAAAAAATTTTAATCCGTTAACAGTTTAGATTCTAACTACTATCCACTAATCTTAAACCACTAAACAAAAAATTTTACTAAATACTTAATTTATAGTAATTTCGAAATAAATGAAATAATCGCTACCCTTAAATTGTCATTCCAATTAGCTGAAAAATTTATTAGACAATTAGTAATTAAAAATTGTGAAAAAAATAAAAAAGATAAATTTGTTAAATTTAAAAATATTTCAATCTACTAGCAAAAATTTTACAAGTACCTAATTTATAGCAATATTGAAATAAAAAAATTTACCAAATACTTATCCCGTACCAATTTCCTATAGTGATTTGAGTAAAATCACTAATTGTTATACCTATTAGGCTCTAAGACAATTAGCTTAGGAGAGAATATAAAAAACAAAAACATTGACAGAACCATTGTAAATCTGTACTTTAGGAAGGATTTGCGAATGAGAAAATTTTGATACATAATGAAGCTCTGGATTACAATTCTGTTGATTGTTGACAGAGCATTTAACTAGTGCAACTTGATCGTCTTCCTCTTTGATAGCAGGAAGGGATTATTTTGGGCAATGCTACAGTTAGTTTTTGGCTTGTTATACCACTTGACAAATAGGAAGGAAATGTATGACACTTTCTAGGAACCAGCCATGCTTTAAGAGCATGAGGAGCAGCTACTTCGGGCTCAGGACAGAAGGAACTTTCATTATAGGATAAGATATAAACAATTTTTAAGGAAAAGAAATAGAGCTAAGTAATGCCTTAATTCACATCTATGAGGGAAAACTGGATTATCTCCTATATGGCTTCAAAGGATAATTTTCAAACTCTGAAGCAAAGGTTATTGACTCTTCATCAAGCCTCTTCTGCAATCTTCTCCAGGTCCTAAGCATGTCAGACTGTATTAAACCCCTGTATAGCATCTCAAAAGTAGCCTTTTGAGGAAGCAAGCCTCGCTCTATCATCTCCACAAAATACAGGCAAGCTTCTTTCCATCTTTGTTTCTGACAGAATCCATGAATCAACACAGTATAAGAATCCAAATCTGGTCCTGATAGAGTCCCGTTAAGATCTGCCCAGATTTCATTGATGGTTTCCATTTCACCCCATGTTAGAAACATTTGCAACAGTAAATTGTATGTGAGCATGCTTGGTTCGCAGAGATGATCCTCCTTCATCATCCTATACAATTTCAAGGCAGCAGATACACCTTTCCTTCCCTTATACTCCTTCAAGAAACAATTATAAGTTGCTGCTGAAGGGCTAACCCCATCTCTTATCATTTCACCCAGCAGCACCTCTGCCTCCTCAAGCCTACCACATGAGCAAAGGCACTTCATCACTGAGGTATATGTAGCCACAGTTGGATGGATACCTTTCTCCTTCATCTCCTTCAACTTATCAATTGTTACCTGTGGTTTATGTGCCCTGCTATACACATGCAACACAATGGAATAACTAGTAACATCAGGCTCAATTCCTCTGTGATGCATTTCATCGAACACCCTCTCAGCATTCATTATCGTCCTCTGGAACCTCTCATCAGGATGCAGGCTAGCCCTCCTACAGATCCCATCCAACAACACGTTAAATGTTACCAAATTCGGCTCTATCCCCCTATCAATCATCTCCTTCAGAAACTGCTCTGCCATATCTATTCTCTTAATCTTGCACCACCCACTTATCAATATTGTATACATCTTCAAATCAGGCCTAAACTGAGATTTCCGTTTGTTGAAAAAATCAACAGCCTGCTTCACATACCCATACTTACACAAAGTGTCAAGTAAATAACAAAAACAAAAGGATCTATCTTCATCGTTAAGAGCAACAAAGCACTCCATGTCATCAACTGTGCGAATTGCTTGGCGGGTTAGTCCAGCAGCAATCAACCTTCGAACCAATATCATGAAAGTGGAGGAATCTGGATCAATATTTGTTTTATCCATTTCAACAATAAGCTGCCAAGCAATGTCAAACTGGCAGACCTTGGCAAGAATGTCAATCATGATATTGTAAGAGGTGGTGGAGAGAAGGGAGGGAGAATGGGGGAGTGATTTTGAAAAGTGGAAGAAGGGAAGGGCAACCTTGGAAGAGTTTTGGAGGCGGAGGAGTGTCTGGTCAAGGAGGAATGAAGAGAGAGAGATGCCATAGAGTTGGAGTGAGCACTCCATGGAGTGGAAGGGGTTGTGCTGGGTTAGGAGGATTTGAGAGAGTGTGTCAGCATCCTCTGATAGTTGGAGCTTAGGGAGGTTGAGGGTGGAAGAGGAGAGGAAACGAACTGTGCAAACATTGGTGATAGAGGCATGTATTCGGAATAGTGCCATCCAGAGAACTCAGATGGAGGAACAAACCACCCCAATGACCTATTCCTGAAATGATAGTGAACATGTCTGTGCCTAAGGATTATATCCAAAAAAACATATAGCCAATAACAATAATAAGAAAGGAAAATGGCAACAACATCAATACAACCAAACACAAAAACATAAGAACCATAGTCAAAGATTGTCAAAGAAGTGACTCAATCGAAACAACACATTGTGAGGGAAAACATAGTTGTTGCACAGATATTACAGGCATTGCTCCAAATTAATCAAGGATTACAGATAACAAATTAATTAGAATAAAAAGGGGGAGAATTTGCACAAACTATTAGATGGAGGGCTCAATATGAACCATATATAGAAGAAACCTTTGCATTCTGAAACATAAATCATAGAGTGACCCTGAATGATCAAGAATGAGAATTCCTAGAAAGCAAAAAACAGAAAAAACAAATTACTGCTTCAATATTAATAAATGAAAGGACGATAACTCAATAGTAGTGGCTTCCATCTAACAGAGCCATCTGTACTCACATTTTATTCAAAGCAAAAAAATTCACCATCACTGTACATGAATTTACAATGGCCCTCATGCATTCGAACAAAACAAACCAGGATAGCATAGAAGAAAACCCAAATGTTTTTAAGCAACTGACGGCATAAATGTATCCCCAAATTTTCTATTTTTGTTAAAGTAAGAAGTGTTCATTACTATGTATTTTGATGTCAATCTTCATAAAATCCAAAAATTCCATTTGCCAATAAACCATTTCTCTTCCATGTATTATTGAAAAAGAATTATTCATATAAAGCTCTTCCTCAGCCACTTGTTCATATAAAGCATTGAACCAGGAGAACCATGAAAGCATTCCTTGTTGCCCAAATACATTTTCTCAGGTACAAAATTTAAAACATTTTCCACCACAACGTATAGAACGCAACTCTCACTGTTCCATCAACAAAAAAGGAAATCCATAAAACTAACAATCACAAATCCTCGACTGAAAAAATGCAATGAAAATGCTACTGCCACAAAATCAAAGTAACACCACAAAAGCAACTTATCTAAGGCAGATGGCACCTCAAGATAGACGGCAGTGCAAAGGGAGCAAAGAAACCGAATTGCAGAGTCAATATTTACAGTGAAGAGCAAAGAAACGAAACTTGAGATTTGGAATTGGAGAAGATTTGCATTATAAAATAAAATAGTGAAGAGATAATAGTAAACTGCATGGCTGGTAGTTCAACTTAAGCTTAATTTGGATTTTGGTCAATTTTTGAATTTGAAACATCCCTAACTCAACTTAGATCAGTGTTATCAATAGTGGATAACGGTAAACAGCGGAAAGGCCGAAATCCGCTATGATAGCATAGCGGCCGCTATAGACAAATAGCAGGTATTTAATAAAAAAATTAAAATATAAATTTAATAATTAAAATAAGAGA